AGGACCCGGGCTATCCCAGCCCCGGGCTCCCCGCACGCACGGTACCGCCGGTACCTCCCAATCCCGCCCTGCAGGCCCCGGGCTATCCCAGCCCCGGGCTCCCCGCACGCACGGTACCGCCGGTACCTCCCAATCCCGCCCTGCAGGCCCCGGGCTATCCCAGCCCCGGGCTCCCCGCACGCACGGTACCGCCGGTACCTCCCAATCCCGCCCTGCAGGCCCCGGGCTATCCCAGCCCTGGGCTTTGCACGACATGCCTTAATCACAACGGGGGCCCTGTGAAAAGCACGATTTCACGGCCTGCGCGGAAAGCGCAGCATTAGCCCTGTCCCGTGACTTTTCCAACAGCAGGGCGGAGGAAGTGCCATCCGCGTGTGCCGGTCTCGTGCTGCGTGCGGCTCACTCCACGGCAGCAGTTCAGAGGGGGTCGGCAGCTGGTTGCAGGCGAGGCCCATAGCTAGGCTCCCCTACAACGTTGCCAGTACCCCTCGATCCCGACCCACAGCCCCCTGCTAGTCCAGCCCTGTGCACGACGTGCCCCCCTTAGTCCAGTTCCAGCTGCCCTCACCCCAGTTGTGTTGACACCCCCAGGCTCAATCCGCTGTCCCTGCTTGCTAGACTCTGGTGCTCACCAGATGTGTCACCATCTCTCCCCTGCCTTCTAGTCTGCCGGGAAGCTGCCTCCATGTGTGAGACTCTCAGCACTTTGCAGGACACCCTCCTGGACATGGCCCCGGAGCTCAACCGAGCCATCACCAATGTGGTGTGCTCTCTGTGCTTCAGCTCCTGCTACAGCCGAGGGGACCCCACGTTCGAGGCCATGCTGCAGTATAGTCAAGGTATCGTGGACACGGTGGCCCGAGGGAGCCTGGTGGACATCTTCCCCTTTCTGCAGGTGAGAGCTGGAGGGGGTGGTGGAAGAGGGGAGGTGGACAGTCGCTCTTAGCCCGCCTCTGATTTGTCCCTCCTCGCTTTTCACTGGCCAGAGTGGGCTGGCTGGGACTCTCCTAGGAGCCCATAGAACCTCTCTCTGGCTTGAGCAGCACCAGGCACGAATTCCCTGAAGTCAGTGGGTGACTATAAAATCATTGCTACATTCACTGGGAGGTCAGTAAAACGACGTCCAGCGGCCAGTTGACGACCTTGGTACGTTGGTGGATTTGCACAAAACACAGAACACAGCAAATACCAGCACTTAACAGAAGCACCAGGCGAAGGTTGTCATCTTGCTCCCTGAAGGACTGTCCCCAGCTCACTGCCGCGGCAACGGGCTGGCTCTCAAAGGTCCCTAGACATTTCCTGGACCTGCTGGGAGACCCAGGGCTCTGGAGGAAAAGGGCTAGTTTGGGAACCAGGGGGGACTTGCACCCCTGCCTCTGAGGCAGTGCCTCAGACGTCGCAGGGAGCACGTGGGGCCGGGCTGAGATGAAGTGGAGCAAATGGGCGTCACCACTGGTCTTTCCTGCCGCAGGTTTTTCCCAACAAGGACCTGGCATTGCTGAAGAGGTGCGTGGAGGTCCGAGACCAGCTGCTGCAGAAGCAGTTCAAGGAACACAAAGTAGGTGGCTCGGCCGTGGCCGCTCACAGACCAGGGCCGGGCCTGGGACCCAGCCGCCGGGCAGGGGGATGTATTGCTACAATCTGCACCCCACGTTTCCAGATCATCGAGGCCCTGCCAGGCCCCAGTGGGGAAGCAGCAGGGACCAGTGGGGATCTGCATCCCCCAGGCAGCAGGAGCCCCAGCTGACTAGCTACCTGCGTGACCCAGGGGATGGGAGCACACATCACCTGCTGTGTCTGGTGGGGCTGTATGAAGGGAGGGGTTTAGAAGTACCAGGGAGCCATGTCCCCCCCCCATCAATGTACAACCCTCACCTTATTCTAAGGAAAAGAAACTCTTCCCATACCCACAGTGCTTGGTGCACAGTGGGGAGGGGGTTACAGCATGGGATTGCCTGCCCCAGCGCTGCTAGTGCCCCCCCACCCTGAACTCCAGCACCTACTGCTCCCCCAGTCCTGGGCTCCCCACGCTTAGCTCTGCCACCGCACCCCACTCTGGAGCGGGTAGGATAGAAACGTCCTGCAGCAGCGCAGATCTAGGTCCAATTCCCAGCTCTGCTGCTGACCCACTTGTAACCTGAGCCAAGTCACGGCCCCACCCCATGCCTCAGTTTCCCACCTGTAACATGAGGCTAATGATACTTCCCTGCCACATTGAGAGGCCTAGTGAATAGGAGAGCTGGGTTCTGCCGCTGGCCTGCTGAGTGACTGTGGGCAGGTCATGTCCCTTCCCCGTGCCTCCGTTTCCCCATCTGTAAAATGGGGCTAACGGTACCGCCCCCTCCTTTGCAAAGTGCTGTGAGACCTACTGGTGAGAGCGAGGTGTTATTATCCAGGATTAGTATTGTTCCCAGGCAGGGCCGAATGTTGCCCTTGTCCCCAGCCTCCGCCGGGTGAGGGAAGGGAGTGATGGGGAGGTGGGAGGTTTAGCCACAGGTAGGGGCAAAGAAGCTGCTCCCATCCATCTTGAATGGCTATCTTCACCTGGCTGGGAGTGTTGGGCCCACACCTCCTCATCCACCCCGGGGGGGGGTCTTTCTGGATGGGGAGGGGACAACCACCCTCTAGGCCCATCCGATCTCCCCGGCGTATGAACTGACACTGAGGAGTAGCGGACGGCCAGGAGGGGCCCGGCCGCCCAGCTCCCCTTGCAGCCACCTCTGACCCCTGCTGTCCTGCCCCCTTGCAGGAAGCGCTGGGCAGCGACTCGGCCAACGACCTGATCGATGTGCTGCTGCGCGCCCAGCTCAACATGGAGAACAACAACAGTCGGCTGGCCCAACCGCTGGAGCTGACGGACGACCATCTCCTCATGACCGTGGGCGACGTCTTCGGGGCGGGCGTCGAGACCACCAGCACCGTGCTCAAGTGGGCTGTGCTCTACCTGCTCCACTACCCGGAGGTGTGCGCATCCCCCCTGCCCACCCGGCCCTTCCGCCCCACGCCCACCCCGAAGCGCAGAGCCCGCTGGAGAAGAGTGCCCAGAAGTCCCCTTCTAGGGTGCCCCCTCCTCCGGGCCATTCCTTGAGTGGCCCCAGGGCTCGCTGTCAAACATGGAGGGCAGGATGAGCATGTGACCTGGTCTGTCCTAGACTAACAACCTCCTCTGGAGTAGCTACCCTTTACCTGGCTTGGGCTAGGGTCCCCCTCAATGACCCCGGGTCCCTGGAAACCCCACTCAGACCCAGGTGAGCATTTAACAGCGATCCTTCACTGTCCCTTCCCCGTGCCTCCGTTTCCCCATCTGTAAAATGGGGCTAATGGTACTGCCCCCTCCTTTGCAAAGTGCTGTGAGATCCTTCACATCTGTGCTGCTTGGAGGGGCCAAACAGGCTGTTCTGGGTCAATATTGTGCCAAAGTCGGGCCCTGCTGGGACGTATCGACTGGGGCTCTGTTGCACATCAAGCTAAGGACAGAACTCAGACCGTTCTTACAGAGAATCTCCACTAGCTTTTGGCCTTACAGGGCCCGGGACACACCGTGAGGGGTCCTGATTCAATCCACTAGGGGGCAGTAGTATATGTACCCTACCCAGGTCATTTAGTAGCTGGACCAAAGTGATGTGCTTTGCCATAGGGAGACCTGTAACCCTTAGCAATCCCTCTCTCGGCTAACGCTGGCCCGGCTGGACTGTGCCCCCAGGTGCAGAAGACGATCCAGGAGGAACTGGATCAGAAGATCGGCTTCGAGAGACACCCCCAGCTCAGCGACAGGCAGCAGCTACCCTACCTGGAGGCCACGATCAGGGAGGTCCTGCGCATCCGGCCTGTCTCCCCTCTGCTGATCCCACACGTGGCCCTTACGGACACCAGGTGAGACTTCTCTGGGCACATCCGAGCTCGTGGCCCAGCCCTGTCCCTCCTTTGACAGGGTGGGGAGGTGATGGCCGAGCGAGGCACTGAATTATTCCCTCTCCCCCCACGCTGCAGCATTGGGGAATACACCATCCCAAAGGGAGCCCAGGTCATCATCAACCTCTGGTCCCTTCACCACGACGAGAAGGAATGGGACAAGCCCGCGGAGTTTAACCCAGGTGGGTCCTTTTCTTCACCCTTCCTGGCTGAAGCTTTGGGCTTAGCATCGGCACCCGCCTGTCTCTGCCCCCCGGGCTGATGGGGTCATTGCTGAGCTAGGTTGGGTTGAGAGGGAAGTGCCAGACTTTGCCTCTCTGTCTGTTACCGCCGAGCAAGGCCTGGAGCTGGCTGCAGCCCAGAGCACTGGTGGCGAGAGCTGCGGGCAGGGGCTCATTCGAGCTTGGAAGGGATCCCTGGGCTAGGAGGTGCTGCCCTCCCGCGAGTCCCCAGGCCACGGTCCCCATCCTCCCAGGCGGAGGACAGCGCGGGGCTGTATGGAGCCTAGCGACGCTGCTCCTCAAGCATCCAGAAGGGGGCGCTGCTGAGCAACGGCACCTGCTTCCCTCCATTTGGGCAGCGCTGGGCCCACAGGTGACCAGCTGCATTGGACCCTCCTGCGTCCAGCACCAGGTTGGCCCATCTGGTATTAACTTTACGCAGTCTGGGCTGTGCCAGGCTGGAGCTTCTCCCCGGGAGGCGAGGGCTGTCAGGATCAGGAGGCACACAGGGGCCGGTGATAAATCAGAGAGGCTCCAAGTGCAGAGGCATTGTCTCACGCCTTCGAATGGAGCAAGGGAAGCAGGACAGACCCAAGTGTGTGTGTGGGGTGGGGGGGGGGGTGCAGGAGGACCGGGTCGTAGGGTGACAAAGCTCACGCCATCAGGTTGCTGCTACGAATCGGGCCTTGGCCCCACGGCACAGCCCTTTGGAGGGACGTGTGAGATGAGTTCGGCAGGTCTCTGCCCTTATGAGAGGCACCAAGTGCACAGTGTGACTGGCTGGGATACGCCCTACACCTCTCCCTCTGGGCTGGGGCCGGGGGGGAAAGGCAGCACTTCCACGGCCTGCGTCAGCTTCAGCCCAGAGCCCCCACATCCCCCACACAAGTGGGTGTCCTTCCGGGCCCTTTGCCCAGCAGTTGAACACAAAGGAAGTGGGGAGGGCTGGCTTGATCCTGCTGTAGAACAGGGGCCCCACACATAAGGAAACGTCTCGCCAACCGTGCCGTCCCACCCTTTAATGAGGCTGCTGCACCCCCTGCAGGTCGCTTCCTGGACGAGCGGGGCAATCGGCTCTCCTCCCCCTCGCCCAGTTACCTGCCCTTCGGAGCCGGGATCCGGGTGTGCCTGGGCGAAGGCCTGGCTAAGATGGAGCTCTTCCTCTTCCTGGCCTGGATCCTGCAGCGGTTCACCCTGGAGGCCCCCCCGGGCCAGCCGCTGCCGACGCTGGAGGGCAAGTTCGGCGTGGTGCTCCAAGTGCAGCCGTTCAAGGTGAAGGCCAGGCTGCGGGCGGCCTGGCAGGATGGCGTGTAGAGCTGCCCGCACCATGGACCCGGCCAGCCGCTCCAGGGACGCAGCGTGGGAGCAGCTGCATGGGACAGGGCTCTGTCCAACCCCAGGGATGGGTCTATCCCCTGGACGGGCGAAAGGAGCGTTGGCTGGGTCATCCTTTGGGCGGTGACGGGCCCAGTGGGTCAAACGCCCCAGGGGAAACCGCTGCTGGTGCCGGGGTGTCTGAGCCCCTGTAACGCCAGTCAAAGGCTGTGCCCTGGCTGCAGGGGCCAGGATTTAGTGTGCTGCTCCCCCCTCATTGCTCTGCCACGCCCCTGGGAGGGTTCAGTCCCTCGGGGGCCAGGCAGGGTGCAGAGGGCGTGAGTTGGTGGAGGGGCTTAGGGGACTAGCAGAGGCAGGTTTCCTGTTCCCCAGGAGCAGGTGGGGAAAACCCCCCATAAAGGGGCCTCGGCCCTCAGGGACCCGGCTCAGCTCCTCAGAGGGCTGAAGCTTATCACCCCAGCGCAGCTCCTGCCCTGTGCGGGGTGGGGAGGGCGCCGGGAGCTCCAGCCCTGCTCAGTTCCCCAGCCCAGCCTCAGTTACTGCAGCTTCATCCCCTGCCTTGGGGTCTGGCCTGCACCCGTTTCCAGAGAGGCTCCCGCCTTCCCTCAGAGCAGGTGCCAGGTGAACAGGAGCAGGGCAGCCCTGGCCTGTTGGAGAGAGGTGGGTGAAACAGAAGAGCGGGCAGAGCTGGCCGGGGCAGACCCGCTTCTCTGACTGGCCAGGATTTTCAAAGGGGGATGGGCATTCAGTTAACGAGTACATTTGCTCTGTGGTTTATGGCAAGTGCAGCCCCAGATTCCCACACACTGGGATCTGTCCTGCCGTCGAGAGGCAGCCTGGCCCAGTGGTTAGGGTGGCTAGCCTGGCACTTGAGAGACTGGCTTCAATTCCCTGCTTCCCCCATGGACTGCGTGAAATTCAGCAAGTCACTTAGTCTCCCTGTGAGTTCCTTCCCGTCTGTACAATGGGCATAACAGCACTGCCCTACCACACAGGGCTCTTGTGAGACTGGGACGGGGCTCAGATACAGTGGTAATGGGGGGGCCAGATAAATCCCTTTTCCACACAGGGAGTTATTCTGGACTAGTAGTTCCACTCTGAGTTCACACCCAGCCTTAATCTAGAATAAGATTCATGTGTAGACAAGCCCTTCGACAGACAGTAGCGTAATTCACAGGTGTACACTACTGTAAATCGTTGATCTGCGTATTACATCCTCTCTGCCTGATGTGCAGAGGATAGAGGTCTGTTACAGCTCCCAGCTGCCCAGAACCCCCAGAGGAAGTCGCTGGTTCAATCCCCACCATCAGCCGAGATCTTGCAGCCGTCATGCTAACAGACACACACTGCCTAAATTCAAAAGGGCCTATTAACTTCCTCTTCCCCACACCCGGTTCAAAAATAGGCTGTAGGTTTGTGCCCCACGCTGCTACCTGTAGGGAGAAGCTGTAGGAGAACTAGCTTCACGGGGTTCAAGCCATGTATTTTAGAATATAGAATATCATAGAAGATTAGGGTTGGAAGAGACCTCAGGAGGTCATCTAGTCCAACCGCCCCGAAGGATCAGGACTGTGGAAATCCGAGAGCAGTGGTTGTCACCAGGTGCGGGGCGAGGTCAGCCTGGGGACAACTCCCCTTTTTCTCTTTTCATCTAATGGAAACGAGGGCAGCTGCTGCTGAGGTGTTTTGGAAAGCTGATGCGGGCAGCTGCAACCCTGGGGGGCGGGTCAGGTGAGCTAGAGAAGCGTCAATGTCCGGGAACAAGGCACTGGGGAGGCCTCGTCTGGAATCCTGGGTGCAACTCCAGAAAGATGAATTCAGAGTGGAGCAGGGGCAGGAAAGGGCTGCGAGGACGGTCAGGGGACCGGAGAGCCTGTCTCATAAGAGGGGACAAAAAGAGCCTAGGAAAACGAAGGCTCAGCAGGGCCCCGGCAGCTCGCTATAAATACAGCAGGGGAGGGGGGTAAACACCAGGGAGGGAGAAGAGCTTGTGCCGCTAGCGGGCGGTGCTGGCAAGGAACACACGGGGATAAAGTAGCCATGAACAAATTCAGACTGGAAATTAGTGGAAGGTTTCTACCCATCAGAGCGGGGGAGGGTCTGGAGCCGCCTCCCACCAGGGAACAAACCCTCTAGCCAGCTTTAAGTGTATGTGCTGGGGTTAGCTAGCAGGAGACTGGACCTGCTGACCTAGGAGGTCCCTTCCAGTCCTAGGCCCTGTGACGTTTGAGGGAGGGGAGCTTGTCCCAGACTGCATCTGTCACAGCTAACATCATGTGGCTCTTCCAAAGCGCCCTCAGACCCCTCTCGCTCACTCCGATGGCCCCGTAGCAACTGAGTGCCTCACAATCCTCCATGTGTTTGTTCTCACAGTCACTATTATCCCCATTTTACAGATGGGGAAACCAAGGCACCGGAAGACTGAGGCAGAGCAGAGCATTTAACCCACTTCTCCTGAGTCCTGGGCTGGGGATCTAATCAGTAGGCCAGCCTTCCTCTTTCCTACAGCTTGTGCTCCTGTCCGCTTGCGGCCATAAAAGGTTGACAAAAATAGTTCTGCTGTGCCGAGCAAGTTCCAACCTGGGTCACTACATTCTGTCTCTCCATTCGCCCTGCTGTCCTAATTAGCCAGGTCAGGTTGCCGTGTGCCGCTAGACATCCACCATGTTCCACCCAAAGGGCGGTGCTTTCAGTTATAGGAGCATGACTTTGGTCCCCATTATTTATAGCCCAGTAGCACCCAGCAGCGATCAGGGCCCCGTTGAGCTACAGCCAATCCCTGAAAGTTCTGCCACTGGCAGCATTAGCCCCAATTTACATATGGGTAACTAAGGCACTGGGAGATTAAGTGACTTGCCCAAGAGCCCACAGGAAGTGTGTGGCAGAGCTGGAATCAAAGCCATCTCTGCCCATTCCCGGGCGGGAGCTTTAGCCACAAGCCCATCCTTGCCCCCTGTAAAGTGTGTTGCTATATAAATAAATGGTATTATCACCTAGCTGCTGGTGCCTTTTAACATTTACCCGGCCGCGAGCTGGCATTTTCACTCTCTATGGTTTTATGATCCACAGCGATTCAGCAATCTGGCTGGATTACAGCATGTCCTCAGTGATCGGGATAACCTTTTACTAGAGTAAAGAGTCTGTGTTTGCTCTCGCCGAAAAAACAGACTGTACAAGAGGGAGCCGTGCAATTAGATCCCCCCCCATTACTTGAGCTCTTAATATTTAACTAACTAGCAACAAGGCAACAACTTATAACTAGAAAAAAAAAAACCCAGCAGCAGCAGAGGGGGCATAGAAAGAAACGAGTTCTTCCCCTGTATTCAAAAACAGGAGCTAGTATGAAATAAATAACAAACCACACAGATTCTCCCCCCCACACCTCCGACTCCCATATGACTTTTTATAGACATTGACAGATTTAAAAACAATGTTTGTTAGGACCCCTTAGGATGTGCGTTACTGACAACGTTACCCCAATGAAACGAGAATGGTTTTGTTAGCGTTGGAAACGGGAACTTTCACTTTAAAAAACAATAAAATCTTGTTTTAAGTTCTATTTAATTTGTGTGCTTAAAAAAGGTCCAGAAAAATTTCTGTTGACAATGAGATTTTTATAAAACACATACACGTCTCTGCCCATCAAGTGACTTGGGTAAGTGACTCTCGCCGCTCCGTACCTCAGTTTCCCCATCTGTGACATGGCGTTTATGATTCTGAACTCCTTGGTGAAGCCCTTTAAGATTTGCAAAGCGCTGTATAATAACTAGGGATTATTATTGTTAACCTGGCACGATGCCCTTCTAAGAACATCTTCTCTGTATCAGAAGTGGCCAGAGTTGTCAAAGCCACTGCAGCCTATGAATCTAATCCTGCACAGAGCTTCACATGAGCAGGATCTGTGCATCTGCATGGGAATCACTGCAGGAGCGGGGCTGGTGGGAACGGCCGTGTTCAGTGCCTCTGAAAAACCAGGCCCTCGCTTTCTTTGCTTCCTAGAATCCCTGTGTGTCTTCTGTCTCCTCCTCAACAGTCCTGGCCCCCAGGAGTGGCAGAAGGGAGCGAAACCAGGAACGTAGCATTTTCAAACTTGACCTCCAGCCCATGTGGCAATGAGATTTACTCAAGGCATTCGCTAGATGGCACCATGCTCATATGTTGCTTGGAAAAGAGAGGACTAAAGGGGGATATGATAGAGGTCTATAAAATCATGACTGGTGTGGAGAAAGTAGATAAGGAAGTGTTATTTACTCCTTCCCATAACACAAGAACTAGGGGCCACCAAATGAAATTAATAGGCAGCAGGTTTAAAACAAACAGAAGGAAGTATTTCTTCATACAATGCACAGTCAACCTGTGGAACTCCTTGCCAGGGGATGTTGTGAAGGCCAAAACTTTAACAGGGTTCAAAAAAGAACTAGATAAGTTAATGGAGGACAGGTCCATCAATGGCTATTATCCAGGATGGGCAGGGATGGTGTCCCTAGCTTCTGATTGCTAGAAGCCGGGAATGGGCGACAGGGGATGGATCACATGATGATTCCCTGTTCTGTTCATTCCCTCTGGGGTACCTGGCATTGGCCACTGTCGGTAGACAGGATACTGGGCTAGATGCATCTTTGGTCTGACCCAGTCTGGCCATTTTTATGCTCTTCATTTTTGTTGGGAAACCCGCTCAAAAATAGGCTATTCGGCGCTGCAGCTTTGTCACCGTCCTAAACAGAGAAGTTCAATCCAGCTCTGGAATGAAGTGCTAAGTAACCCAAAGCTCTCTGCTGTTTGGATTTAGGATCTTTGGCTTCAGCATTGAATACAATCGATCCTGCAAGTCTAGTTGTTTGGTAATAATTTCCAAAATTGGGGGGTGGGGGACGACTCTGAAAGAAACCTTTAGCTGTTTCATCCATAAGGCGTTACCCCAAAAATCCAACCCACCATCAGGAACACCTGGGAAAATTAATGAGCTGGCTAGTGAATCTGGGCCACCACTGCCCTCCATTGGATCAAATCAGAACTGTTCAACTATGGGTCACAGGCCCTATACTGCTAATGGAGATTCTCCTTCAGATCAAATGGCAGGAGCTCATGCTCTGGGGGCAGGAGGGTCTGGGTTCCATCACCGTAGATTGGCAGTCGCCATGGAGTTCTGAACGGCCAAGGGTGTGTGGCATAGCAACAGCAGAGAAGTTCCCGAATGGCCAGAGATTTGTTACAATACTACCTTATTGCCCGCAAAGCTTGTAAAGAAAATGGTGCTGCGGACGCGGCCAAACAAGATAAGAGTGGCTAACCCTGCCCTCGGCTAGCTGCATGCCAGGCCTGCTGTGCTGCTGGGGAGAGACGTGCCCACGTCACCAAGGGCAGAATTGAGCATGTGGCCCTTCATCATGCAGATGGGTGCAGTTTTGCTCTAAAGGAGGAAGAGCAAAATAATGATCCGGGCAGGTCTTCTGCTTCCACCTCCGGCTGGCGTGTAGAGCGAGGATGTGCTGAGTGGAGAGTACTCAGCTCAGAGCAGAGGGACAGGGGGGAATAGGGGGAAGGGGACAGTTTGTACATTTCCGGCACTTAGGTTTGTAAATGGATTTAATAAACAACAACACAAAACCCTTTCTTCTATTTTCCAAGCCTGTTAGGTTTTATCTATGGCCTCATCTACTTTAGAAAGGGTTTGGATGGATGGAAGGAAGAGGATGTATGGGATGGATGGATGGAGGCTGTATGGGGATGGATGGATGGATGGAGGAGGGTGTATGGGGATGGATGGAGGTTCCCCGAACAGTTGTATGCAATTCCCCAAACAAAATCTGCTGTACTGGCAAAAGGGTATTTTTTGTACCGGTCTAACTCCATCTACTCTGGGCTTTTGCCAGTAGAGCCACATCAGTTGAGAGGGGATTTTTTCCAGGTGCCCGCCCTTGCCAGCCGGCAGGACGTGGAAGGGTGGACCAGTCCTGTGTTTGCAGGCGGAAAAGGGGCCATTTGAGGTCATTGCGATGACTCCGCTAAGAGGGCGACTATCATTCCCGTCAGCCCGAGCCCCCCCCCCCATCCTATGTGGCAGGTAGATGACTCATGCCACCCCATACTGGGGGGCACAATCTAAAATGGAGGACACATGACTGCCCCGCGTGTCTCCTCTGCCCAGTGACACTCTCCCCGCCCCAAGCCACTGCGCTCTCCCGGCCCCATGTTACCTGCAGGGATGGGGGGGAGGAGTTTGCGCTCCACCCCCACCCCCCCATGTTTGGCAGCTCTCCCTGGCAGCCAGGCGGAGAACGGGATGGAGCCACTTCTGCCTGAGAGAGCCTGACTAGGAGACCTCAGCAGCGGCCTGCTCCGTGCCTGGACTCGGCTGCAGGTGACAGGGGCAGAGCATGCCGGGGGGCGATGGGGGACTCCAGCTCGCTCATGGGGCCCGGGCAGGGGCTGGCCCACTGCCACTCCAGCTGCCGGGCACAGGGGCCAAGCGAGCGGAAACATGCTGGAAGGGAAAGGGGGCTCCTCTTTCTCCCTGCCCCCGGCAGGCCAAGCGGGCGGGGGGGCACTTGACCTTCCATGTCCCCCCTCCACACGGCACCTCGGACCATCCCTGACAAGGTTTTGCTAAGTGAGCTGCTCTGGATCAAAGAAGAATGACTTCGGGGAAGCTCTGGGCCTGTTCTGCAGAGCTCAGACTAGATCGCAGTGGTCCCTGCTCGCTATACAATCTAAGACCTGGCCCGGGGGGGGGGGGGGGGAGATGCAGGCCCATCCCCACTCCCACACCCCCGGCCAAGTAGGGGAGCAGGCATCAATCTCTGTGCAAAGAGCCCGTCCCAGGCAGGTGCCTGGGAAACACCTGTGGCATGGCAAGCCAGGCGCAGCAGGGAAGCTGGATGCGAGCGGGGAGGGACACAGCCAGGGAACCCCGGAGGAAGCCGGGTGTGACTGTTTGATGTTGCAGCCGGGAGCAGGTCGGTGCAGGGCACAGGGGGAAGCAGGGCCGAGGGGCCCCTATGAGACACAGCACTACCTGATCCTGGCCTGGAAGCCTGCAAGCTGTTTGCTTTTAATGGAGGACTAGCCTAGAGAGGCACTAGCCCCAGAGAGTCCTAACTGTCGACTGGACTGCCCCACGGGCCCACATAAAACCCACTACCGCTCCCTTTGAACTGCAACTCTGCACCGAGACTAGTGCCACCTCTCCCTTTCGCGCCCCCCCTTCCCGTTAGCCATGCGTCTGAGTGGTGGGGCGAGCGCCACCGCCTCCCATGCCGACAGGACCTGCCTCTGAGCTGTGGCTCACCTGGCATGTTACTGGACCTTCAGCGGTTGGGTGCCTTCCAGCCCTGAGCCGCTCTGAAAGTGCTGCCCATGTGGCCAGCCCCAGGAGTTCACAAGCCAGGAGCCAGGCCCCAATAATCATCAGGTTGACTTAAAAAAAAACCCATGTGGTTGAGCCTGTGGGCATCGCAGCGGCAAGCTTTTCTCCGTGACCACGAGGACTCGAAACAGACGCGGGTTTTGTTTTGTTTTAAATAAAAGCCAAGATTCTCACGTGATCACCTGACTCCAGGAGCTGGGGCTTTAACACCCCCCCACCAAATATCACGATGGTTTTCAACACTGATCTCCCCTCCTCAGCACAAACATGGCCTGAGGTGCAGGGAAAGTAACTGACCTCCTAACCCCACACAGAGAGTTAGTGAGAGAGTAGGAAGCAGAACCCAGGACTCCTGAGATACAGGCTCCCAGCTCTGGCCACTAGGAAACCCGTCCCACTATGGAATTAACTTGTAGGTTAATAAAAGCCATTAAATGAGGTAGGATCCTTTCCCTTTATCTCTGTCTGTGCCCATCACAGTGGTAACGGGCCTTTCCAGCCATTTACTTCCATTGCTCCTGCAATACTAGGTCAGTCACAAGCAATAGAGTAACCTACTTTGGAAGTATGTAAGTTAGTCGCTGCCATCCAGAAAAACATGAGCCAGATTCTGCAGCAGAAACGAGCCCGTTCCCCCCCGTCTGTCATCAGCCCCCCAAGGGCCCAGCCAGACCCCGGTGCTACGGCTGGATTTGGCCCCGAGTTTTCTGGGTTTGTTCAACCCCCGAAGTCAGAGTGAAATTGTCTTGGAGAAGTGAACCTGCAAGAAGTGAGACAAGGGGGAAAAAAGCATTCTCGGATTCTGTAGGGCTTGTAGAAAATGGGGGACGCAGACAATAGGCAGAATGGGTCAAACCCTGGACCGATGGCACCATAAGCATAAGCCCCTGCCACTTGTCTTGAACTAAAGGAGCTAACATTAATTATTGGTAAGCAGCAGGAATTTATCTTCATGGGGGTCAGCTACTGGAGGGAGACAGGCAGCTGCATTTAGCCAGCACATTGCATCCTCGTTGCAGTAGCTGAATTACTCACACTATTAATAGTTGGAAGGTGGAGCTCATTTCTGGTTTCTTGCAGTGATAAGGGCTGATAACGGATACAATTGTTTGGAGAACTTCTAGCATATGCCATGAGATGGAATTGCTGGCTTTGTGTTGATTAAATCAAGCTATGTCCACAGCCATAAACAG